TCATTTGATTTTGTCATGGTCCTCATGGACCTGGATTCCTGGAAGGCACGCAGGAGCAGGACCGTAACAAGGAACATGCGGGGTGCTGCTTACATGAGGAATAAATCACACAATGAAATTGAGTAAGGTACCCCATAAAGATACATGGTGTATTCTAGCCTGGCTACCATCTAAGCCTGAGCAGCCTTGGCCCGCTCCCATCAAGCCAATCTGCAATTGTTTGGTTGCCTGCATTATTTAAGTCTGGCTAACAAATGGAGTGTTTGGTTGCCCGGTTTACTTTGTATACAATCACCTCTTCTTGGAGCCGGTAACTTTGCCCCCTTTGACACATTATCACAAACAGGTGTTGGGCACCTCGCCGGTGGTGGTGGAGGACGCGCCGACGGCAATGAGGTCGCATCGGCCGGCGAATAAGACGAGCTCCTCGCGGGTGGGGAACCCGTGGATGTGAGAATCTGGCCGGGGAAGCGGGTGACCGGCGCGCGGACGCCAGGGAGGTGGAGGGAGGTGGAAGGATCTGGAACACACGGATGCCGGGGAGCTCGATCGGATGTGGTCGCTGGAGATCTGGAAGGAGTTCACGTGTGAAAGCTCTAGTTTGGTTTTGGTGAATTGATGAAACCCTAAGTGTTAACCCATTGCTCTAAGTGATCAAGAGATAGGGTAGCACATTCCAAGTGGTGGAGCAAATGGTGAAGATCATGATGATGGTGGAGGCCATGGTGATGATCAAGTGCTCGGGCTTGAAAAAGAAAAAAGAGAAAAACAAAAAGCTCAAGGCAAAGGTATACTTGATAGGAGCTCTTTCTTTTGGTGATCAAGACACCTAGTATATGTGATCACATTTAGGATAGATAGACGTACTATTAAGAGGGGTGAAACTCGTATCGAAATGCGGTTATCAAAGTGCCACTAGATGTTCTAACTCATTGCATATGCATTTAGATTCTAGTGAGTGCTAACACCCTTGAAAATGTTTATGAAAATATGCTAACACATGTGCACATGGTGATACACTTAGCGGTTAGCACATTTGAGCAAGGATGGCAAAATTGGAGAAGTGGAGGAGGCTTCTCGAGGTGACCGGACGCTGCTTAGGCAGTGACTGGACTCGGGGCCTGCGTCTGGTCAGTGGCGCGCAGTGTGGCGTCGGCTCGGTCCCTCGACCGGATGCTGAAGAGAAGGAGGGACCGGACGCGCAGGGGGTGCGTTCGGTCACTCATGACGTATGCTGACGCAAGCACTGAGAAGAGGAAGGAAGGAGAGGACGCTGGCGTGGGTCCTGTCACCGTTGACCAAACGCGTCATGTCACGAAAAAGGCGCTCGGGGAGCTTACTAGAAATGACCGGACTCGACGTGGGCGCGAGTCAGGTCTGTGCAGTGGCGCGTCCGGTCAGCGGCTCGAGGGCGCGGGTGCGCGCGTGATCGGACGCTAGCTTGGCATGTCAGGTCGGCGTTGGCGCGTCCGGTCTTCACTTGACACATGGCACGGCCGTTGGTGACTGTTGGGATCGATCAACTATGCTTGAATGAAGGCGGCACGTGGCCGCCATCTAGTGACCGCGCATTGGTTCGGGTGCATCTGGTCGCTTCAGCCAGCGCGTCCGGTCAGTGCGCAGTGGGCTCTGTGTTGAGCCCAATGAGCCCAACGGCTTTATTTCGTGGGGGCTTCTATTTAAGCCCCATGGCCGACTCTAGCTCACTCTCTTGGTCATTTTCATTAACATAGCAACCTAGTGAGCTAAGCCAAAGCCCTCTCACTCATCTCCATCATTGATTCTTCGTCTTTGTGAGAGATTGGGAGTAAATCCAAGTGCATTGCTTGAGTGATTGCATCTAGAGGCACTTGGTGATTGTGTTTCACTATAGATTTCGCTTGTTACTCTTGATGGTTGCCGCCACCTAGATGGCTTGGTGCAGCGGGTATCGTCGAGCGGAGGAAGGTGCTTGTCTCTAGCTCTGATCGTGGTGATTGTGAGGGGTTCTTAACCTTTCCCCGACGGAGAGCCAAAAGGTACTCTAGTGGATTGCTTGTAGCTTATGGATCCCCATTTTGTGTTGGTTGTGCGGCACCCAATTGCAAGTTAGGCGTGTGATGCCTATTAGTGCATGAACCTCCAAGTGGGTGAATCGCTACAACAAGGATGTAGCTTGCCGGCAAGCAAGTGAACCTCGAGGATAAATCATTGTGTCATCATTGTCTCCGAGTTTCTATTGTGATTGATTGATCATCTGTTGCCATAGCGGTATAAATATCACTACCTCTCTTGCATTTACTTTCCTAGTGTAGCTAAGCTCTTTAGTGTAATTAGTCTTGAGAGCTAGCTTGTGTCTTGTTAGTTTGGTTAGTGAGGCTCTTTAGGTAGTCATTGAGAGCTCACTAACTTAGAGAGCAGTGACTTAGCCTCTTGAGTGACATAGAGATCATAGATAACTAGAATTGTAGATAGGAGGCTTGCATTTTTAGTAGGCTAGCGCAACACTCACTTCGCCGTTTAATTGTCTAATCATTTGGCTTAAGTGTTGTTGTAGAAATTTTTAATAGGCTATTCACCTCCCCTCTAGCAATTAGGACTTTTTAGCGTTGTGGCCTCCCACTTGCTTGCCCATATTGCCGGTGACCGCCCGTGGCTCCGTGGCCAACTCGCGGAGAAGATGCACGGATAGAGGAGGAGATTTCACCGCTGATATTGCGAGCTCCACCATGCGTCCCTCCGCCGAGCTCCTAGATATGGAGGAGGATCAGATGCGGAGGAGCACGATGCCCTTGCCAGAGAGCTCTAGGAGGAATCCCTCCCGACCTTCGTGCCCACCCAGCACGGGGTGGTCTCCAGACGCGGCAGTGAGAATGGAGGGGGAGAGGAGATCTCACCGGGGGGAGCAGAGCTCGACGCCATCGGTGAGGGGGGAGAGAGTTCGCCGTTGGGTGCGATGGCGATGAGGAGAACCTATACGGTCGCTTAGCCAAACCTGGCTCCCAAAGAATGACTGGCCCCTGTGTTTTTTTATAGCCTAGCTAAGGGGGTGATCGGTGGCACTATGGAGCCTAGCTTCAGCCTTCAAACAAGCAACCAAACAGCCTGAAGCTACTTCCTAGAGCCTGGTTGGGGGTTAGCCACCAAACCAAACAAGACCATATACTTCCTCGTCTGATATCCAAACATGCAGGGCTGGCGCGTGGCCCCACGGCTCCGCTCTCGCGCAAGCTCTAGATGGGTCCGCCACCACCGATCCGAACTAAGCGGTGATCGTTGTGGTCGTTATAAGGTGGCGTGGTGGTGCACTCACCCTGCCACGCATGGTGGCGCGTGGCCCTACCCGATCTAGAAGTGCGCTTGCCCCTGCCAGGCGCGGTGGCGCGCGGCCCTCTGACTTGGCGATGCGCTTTTCCCTGCCCGGCGCGTGCTCCCGGCCTCATCGGAGTGGTGGTGCGATCGTCGGCTCACTCCGGTCGGTCCCAACGTTGTGCCTGTGTGCCCCTGTCTGTAGCTCCACGCTTGAGGATCGACCCAGCGGTGCTTCCAGAGACGAAAGAGGAGTCGTGCCTAGATCTAGAGGTTGTGACCAATGGCGGCGCTTGAACGGGTCATCCCCCCTCTAGCCCTAGCGTGGTCGTCGGAGCTCACATCTGGAGGTAGGGCAGCAGCGGGCCCCTATGGTGCCAGCAATGGAGGTGGTCGGCAGGGCGACGGGTAGTGGCAAGGCGTCACGGCGTCGTCCCTTTGGGCGGCGGCAGGTGTGGCGGAGGATGGTGGTGACCTAAGCGTCAACGGCCAGTCCTCGGCAGGGAGAAGCCAGATCCAGCGGAGGTGGGTCCGTAGGCAGTTGTGTCCTAGGGGCGGCGCCATGATAGTAGCTTGAGCACTGGTGCAAGGATCTCGGCGAGGAAGAGGCGGATCCCATTGGCAGTGGTAGCTTGGGAGTCCAGGCGGAAGAGGATATCCTTGGCGGCAACGATAGAGGACTTCGGCAGAGGCGACGATCATGATCCCAATGATGGTGTTGCCCTATGGGCGACGGAGGCCTAGGAATCTGGCGAAGTAGAAGCTAGTGTCTGATTGGCTAGTTGTGACTGGACGGCGACCGATGAAGGTGGGTTAACCAGCGACACGTGGCGTCAGCTCACTCGAAGCGGATGAAGATGGTACCAGCGGAGGTTCGCAGCGATGGCGCACTAGGGGCGACGGCGACTTGACGACTTTCACTCACCGAATCTCGACGTTTCATGAGAGGAGGTCGAGAAGCAGGGATGTGCCAAGGTCATCGTTTTTTTTCCTTTTTTGGTTGTGTATGAAACTCTTTGTTGTGATATTGGTCTTAGGATTCTTGTGTCCTTTTGACTGTGTATATTCTCTTTGGATATAGAGGTCAGGTTAATAAAAATTCATTATCTAAAAGATATACTCCCTCATCCAAAATAAATGACATTTTAGTTATGAATCAGAACAATAGCCACACTATCATCTATTGTGAGGCGAATCAAGTAATCCTAAACAAATACTCCATCCGTTCAAAATTATAAGTCGTTTTGACTTTTTTGGTTCCATTTTACTATGTATGTAGACATATTATTATATCTACTAGATACATAATAAAATAGATGTATAAAAAAAGTCAAAACGACTTATAATTTGGAACGAAGGGAGTACTTCCTCTATTTTAATTTGTTATGTATAGATAGTTTTGGCATTGGTAAATATACAACTTTTATTGTATATCTAGACATATTGTATATTAAGTTGCATAACAACTTTTATTATATATCTAAACATGTACCCAGAATAAAAAAACGACGGATGATCTAGGACAGAATGTGGTACTATATCTAAAGAAAAGACGAATAAACAACCCACCTTATTTCGGGTGTTAGCTGGATGCAGGAATGCAGGATGCATCACCGGGCTAAAGATACGTCGCTGGGGTAGGAAAATTGTTTTATTTTTTTATAAAAAGAAATAAAAAACACGTGCTTGTCGTCCACTCGGAGCGAAGGTCGATGCCGCTCGCCGTGCACACGGAGGACGATGGGGCGCACGCGGAGGCCGTCATCCGTAACGGTGCGGCTCCAGCTCCCTCTCTTCTTCTCACCCTGCGTTCCTACCTCCACACCACAGCTTCTTGGTCCGGCAGATCCCTGTCTCTGCGCCCCTTCGCTATGGCGAGGAGGGGAGGACTGAGGACGACGCGGCAGCGGCCAGGGCTCCTGCGCCTCATCGCTATCAGCGAGGAGACGGAGGACGGCGGCAGTAGCCAATGCCCCTTCTCTATCGGCGAGGAGAGGGAGGGTGGCAACGGCGGAGGTGCCCGCTCAAATCCTCTGCCCACAACCTGTTCGACGAAATACATCTATGGGGGGGGGTAAACTTAACCATGTTCAGATGTGGTGATTATATCTTGGACACAGTAACCAACCAAACACAGAATTTCTTCTATGATGCCAGTGAAGGAACTGTCAAAATTGATGGTTTTGACATTAAAGGACTCCCGCTCAAATGGATCAGGAGCAAAATGGGGCTAGTCAGCCAGGATCATGCATTGTTTGGTACTTCAATAAAAGAGAACATCTTGTTTGGCAAACCAGATGGGACCATGGATGAGGTTTATGCAGCAGCTATGACAGCAAATGCTCACAACTTCATAAGGGGGCTTCCAGAGGAATATGAGACTAAGGTACGCGCATCAAAAGTGAAAAGGAACATTCAGCCACCTTAATTCCATGTCTCATACATACTTTATGGTCCATTCTTGCAGATTGGTGAGCGTGGAGCATTGTTATCAGGTGGCCAAAAGCAGCGTATTGCCATTGCAAGGGCGATAATTAAGAACCCTGCTATACTCTTGCTCGATGAAGCCACAAGTGCACTTGATTCAGAATCAGAAAACTTGGTACAGCATGCACTTGATCAAGCATCCACGGGACGAACAACACTGGTAAATTGCCACTGCTTCCACTCTTCATACCTTTTTTGAGGAAACTCACTCTTCATACTTTATAACCCTTATATCAGAACTTCTTGAATTACTTAGAACTTCAGCTTTTTGAAGAGAAAATCATTTGACGTTGAATCCCTGATTATTCATTAACAATGGTCAGGTAGGAGCTCATAAGCTCTCTACTGTGAAGAACGCTGATCAGATCGCAGTAATTGATGGGGATACAATCGCTGAAATTGGTACACATGATGAACTGCCCGTACTCGAGACTTGTGAAATTGCAGATGGTAAGCTACATTGATCAAGAAAATGAACAATTTAGGGCTTCCTCAGTGTCCAGGACAAGTACCAGCCGTCACAGCATGTCCACAGCAAGTCCAATGCCACTAACACCAGCTATCTTAAAGGAAAATAATTCTGATGTTCCTCCACCTGCACCATCTTTCTCCAGGCTTCTTGCAATGAACGCACCTGAGTGGAGGCAGGCAGTCTTAGGCAGTTTATCTGCATTGGTATATGGTTCATTGCAGCCCATCTATGCCATAACCATCGGAGGAATGATTGCTGTATTCTTTGTTCAGGACCAAAATGAGATGAATGCAAATATCAAACGCTATGCCTTGATCTTCTGCTCACTGTCCTTGGTATCCATTGTTGTGAATCTATTGCAACACTACAATTTTGCATACATGGGGGAGCATCTTGTTCGGCGCATCCGGGTCCAAGTACTTGAGAAGATCTTAACCTTTGAGGCAGCATGGTTTGATGAAGAAACTAATTCAAGCGGTGCGTTGTGCTCTCGGCTAAGCAATGAGGCTTCTCTTGTCAAAACCCTTGTTGCAGATAGAATATCCTTACTGCTTCAAACAGCTTCCGGAATTATAATTGCGGTGACAATGGGCCTGATTGTAGCTTGGAAACTTGCTCTTGTCATGATAGCTGTACAGCCATCTACAATGATATGCTATTATGCAAAAAGGTGGTTCTCTCAAATGTGTCAAGGGACTTGGCAAAGGCTCAGCATCAAAGCACCCAGATTGCCATAGAAGCTGTTTACAACCACAGGATGGTAACTTCCTTTGGATGCTCATCGAAGGTTCTTCAGCTATTCGAGCATGCACAAGAGGAACCCTTGAAAAAAGCAAGGAAGAAATCATGGGTAGCAGGGATAACCACAGGGTTGTCACCTTGCCTCTCGTTCTTGTCATGGGCACTGGCCTTCTGGTATGGCGGGAAGCTGGCACAGTCTGGGGAGATATCAGCGGGTGATGTTTTCAAAACCTTTTTCGTGCTGGTGAGCACAGGAAAGCTGATTGCTGATGCTGGTAGCATGACATCTGACCTGGCAAAGGGAGCAAATGCAGTTGCTTCAGTATTTGAGGTGCTAGATAGGAAATCCATCTCTCCAAAAAATTCACAGGTAACAAACTCATTCGTAAGCATCATACAGAATACATATCGGCAAAGCAGTTATGCGAGTATAGAATGATTTTACAACGCGGTCTTGCTATGAGTGAGAATAATATACATCTATTTTGCAGGTGGAGAATGAAGATCAGAAGAAGAAAATAGAAGGTAGAATAGAATTCAAGGAGGTAGGTTTTGCATATCCAACAAGACCAGAATGCCTTATCCTACAGGATTTTAGCTTGGACGTGAAAGAAGGAATGAGTGTTGGCCTGGTTGGGAGAAGTGGTTGTGGTAAATCAACTATCATAGGTTTGATCCAGAGGTTCTACGATGTTGATAGGGGGGCCGTAAGAATTGATGGTATGGATGTGAGGGAGATGAATATTCTCTGGTTCCGAGGATTTACAGCTCTTGTTAGTCAGGAGCCTGCAATGTTTTCAGGCAGTGTCAGGGAACAACATTGCTTTTGGTAAACCAGAAGCTGATGAAGATGAGATTGTGGAAGCTGCAAAAGCTGCAAACGCACATGAGTTCATCTCGTAAATCTTTTTACTTGTTTCTATTCCAAAACTATATAGATATTGCAAGAATGCCTTTTATTTCAACTCGCATTGTATAACACAAGGAACTAATAAGTTGATTATTTTTCAGATCCTTGGAGGATGGATATGATACTTGATTGCGGAGAGCATGGTATACAGCTCTCAGGGGGGCAGAAGCAAAGAATTGCAATTGCAAGGGCAATAATCCAGAATCCAGCAATACTACTACTTGATGAAGCAACAAGTGCGCTTGATGCGCAGTCAGAGCAAGTGGTGCAGGAAGCTCTTGATCGAATAATGTCAGGGAGGACCACAATTGTGGTGGCACATCGACTAAACACAATCAAGAATGTAGACTCGATTGCTTTCCTGGGAGAGGGTACAGTGGTGGAGCGTAGCTCTTACCCGGAGCTCATGAACAAGAAGGGAGCATTCTACAACCTCGCAACTCTTCAGAAGTAACTGACTGTATGTAATGTAAACTATTATATCTAATGAAACTCCCGCAGTAATCGATATTATTGCTAGGTTACTATAGCACAGAAGCAGCACTCCTAAGCTAGTTTTCAAGCAACTCTTTCAATAATCAGTTAATATATAAATATATATATTTGACACAATCCTCGCCTTTCAAAGTTTCTGGTGGGCTAAGATTGGCAAAAAAATATATAAAGAAATGATAATATGGCCTAGTAACTAAAAAAAGTATGATAAGGAAAAGCAAGCATTATGAATCACTTGAATGCAACATAAGTCTGAAGCAGGTAAAATATTTAGAACATACACTTGCAACATATGTGTCAAATATATGCAACATCCAGATAAAACAATTGCAACTTGCAACATGAAAACACTTATTGCAACATAAGACTAAAACAACTGAAACGTTTCGAACATACTCTTGCAGCATATATGTGAAACATATGTAACATCCAAATATGCATACTTGCAACATATATCTGAAAAAGCAGATGAAACATTTAGAACGGACGCTTGCAACATACGTGCACAACCTTGCAACATGTGCAACATCACGATCTATTTTTGCAACATCCATATGAAACATTTGCAACATACCTCTGAAACATGTGAAACAACTGAAACATACTCTTGCAACATACGCTTTCAATGCAACATCTTTTTGCTGCTCGGCAGAATGGAGGCTCATCGATGTGTGGTGTTCACCGGAGGCAGCGGCCCGGCGACGCTTGTAGGCAGTGGGCCGCGGCAGTGGCTACACGACGCGAAAGGGTGGCATCGGCCGCATGAGCAGTGGGGAGGCTGCGGCTGACTTGGAGAGGGGCAGTAGCGTGTCGCGCCTGGCAGGGCCAGTAGCCGAGCGTCGCGACTCGGAGGCAGCTGCGCACCGTGCCCCGCAAGGCCAGCTACCGAGCGGTGCGCCTCGGAGGTGGCAGGCGAGCGGATAAGAGCGATAGGAAGAGGAACGAGTGGATAGGAATAAATGGATGAACAATTCTTTTTTTAAAACAAGAAGCGTGGATTGTTGGGCTGGCGTTTGACCTAGCAATGGACCGTTTGGACGGACGGACGCCCGTTTCAGAACATTACCGAAAAGAATGTCCATGAAAGGACTTACCGTGAAGTGACCATAGCCAGAAAATAAATAACTGTAAGCAAAGGCTTACACCTTCTTTACTCTTTCTTGAAGTTGATATTTAGTAGATTTCCCTTGGAGAGTTCAATCTCCATACTCATGTTATCCATCTCTACTTTAACCAATGCCCCTACGTCAATTGATCCAGATTCAGTAGAGGTTAGCTGCTCTTTTTTCTTTTTTCTTTTTTATCTCGGCTAGCTGCTCTTTTAACTTATCAGCCATGGTATAGTGTTTTTCTCTCACAACAAATCAACGGCTCATGGCTTTTCTGAGTCAGGCCTGCGCCAGGCAGGAGGCACTGTCTCCGCCTCTCCGGTGGCAAGGTAGCTTTCCAGCCGGTACTTGCCTCTCCCCCTGCTGCCGCTTCAAGCTGGAACAGTAATGAAAAAAACCCATTTTTCTTCCCTCAAATATTATATAAATTCGATATACCTTCCTCAATAGAAATCGATCTTTTAGACTCCTCCAACTATTATAACTGTCTAATTTATCTTCCTGAGCAGTTTTGAGAGTCGTTTGTGGCGCCAAGTCACGCCAGGAGAGGTAAATTGGACTTTCGTGATAGTTCAGGGAGGTCAATTAGTATATTTGTTTTCAAAAAATTATCTAAATATTTTTCTAGAATAAATATGCATTTAAAAAGACTAAATCTAATTAATTATTATTAAATTTGTTTTAACTTGGAAAAATATGAAACCAGTTTCATGTTTTTCCTAATGTTCTACTTTTTTTTTTCTTTCTTATATTGTCTCCTAAAATTTGAAACTAGGGCTAATATGAAACTGGATACATATTTGAAACTAGGATAAATATGAAACTCGGAAATACGAAACATGTTACATATTTTTCTGAGTTAAAAACAAATTTTCTATGATTTTTCTAATATTAAATCAAAATTTAGTATTTTTAAATGCGTATTTATTCTAGGAAAGCATGTGCATTTTTAGGAAAAAATATTTGTAGAAACTGACTAACTTGGCGCCATGTAGGACAACTGATGTGGCGCCACGTAGGACAGCTGACGTGGCGCCGCGTCAGCCAAAACCACTCTCAAAACCGCTCATAGAGGTAAATCGAATGGTTTCAATAGTTGAAGAGTAAAAAAAACGAGTTTTCTAATTAAGTGAGGTAAATCGAACTTATAAATAGTCAAGGGAGTTCAAGAGGAATTCCTGATTCTCTTTTCCACCGACCATGACGAGCAAGCTCCGAAGCCTCCAAGGCTGGCTTGGTGTCGTTCCGTAATCCGTAGCACGGCCTGTGCTCTGTCCTCATTGGAGGAAGGGGAGGCCTTAGGGCACGTGCAACCCACAGACGAAGGGTTAAGAGTCTCGAAGTAGACGTATAGACAGCTAAAAAGACAGGTTATACAACCATAGACAGAAGGTCGTCTGCAAGCTGTTTAATGTTATGTATGTAATTAAGATCAATCATGAATACCATTTTGTGTACCACTGTGTTGCTATTCGATAGATAATGGATCATAGCTACACTTAATTCACACTAATAACATTCAAAATTCCTCATAGTGATCTTCTACTTCTCCAGGTAGACATAACTGGAAGAAACAAGATCATATGAGATCTTAGCCAATTAACAACAACCAGCGATCAGGCATCATATATAACATCAAAACAGGAAAGGCATCACCCACAACTAAATTAAGCTCAGAGATGGAATATTATTGCTTACGCTATTATTAAATACAAGCGCGACAGTTTAAAAAGGCTGACAGAAGAAATTTGATGCTGAAAGAAGAAACACAAGGATGCTGCAAGATGAGCTATCGAGTGAGGCATTGCATCGAACAGCTATCGGGCGTCCCTTTTTTTCCTTAACCAACTCATTAATATTAAACTAGTTTGCCATTGCAACAAAATAGTTGAGGCATTAGCAGGCAAACAACATCATGGAGTAAATACCAGATGTGGATCCAGAAAGCACGAGCGGCAACAAGAAACAGAGAAGGTGACTTGGGCAGCCGGGTCGAGCACTCGAGCTAGCGCATACACCCGTCGCCGCTCGTGCCTGGCCATCGCGGCCACGGGACCGTCGGGTGGCGGCGCAGTCTTGTCCCAGCTTGCTCACAACGAGGTGCGACCGCAGGAGACGGGAGCTGCAGCCTCCACCGCCGCCGCCGCGCACCTGGGCTCCAGCGCTACCGCGGCGCACCTAATCTCCAGCGTCGTTGTTGCGCGATGATGGAGAAAAGAGGAACATTGGTGGGTGGGGGATTTTGGGGCGGAAGATTGGATTCTCCCGTGCGCACAGATTGATCCGTCCCTCGTCGCTCGAAGACGACAATGCCGTACAACGCGCCCTCCACCAACGACTAAGCCTGGGAGCATGAGCCGGCGTCGTCGTCTCGCCCTCGCCCGTCTCCACGCTCGCGAGGGTGTTTTCTGTAAAAATTAAATCATAGAGACGGCTAAGTTCAAAAAAAATCATACAAACGGCTCGAATCGTCCCGTTGTACGTGCCCTTAGTCTAAAAAAATGCCACCACAGCTAAGCTAGTTTAAATTTGATCAAGTTTGTAATAAATAGTATTAGCATTTGCGTCTTTAATAAAATTTATTATAAAAATATATTCTATAACTATTCTAATGAAATTTACTTTTAATCATAAATGTTATTATATTTTTTATATAACTTTAATTAAAATTCAAATGGAAGCAACACAAAGACACACAGGGTCAGGTGGTCTGTGTGTTGTGTGCTCTCGTTGCTGCAGCCTCTGCAGGTCAGCTAGAGCATGGCTAACGGTGTGTCTGCCGGAGATTCCGCTTCAGCCAAAACAGTTTTAGTTACAACTTATCTGATAAAATAAAATTTTAGCTCCAGCTTCTCTTAAAAAACATTGGATAAAACACATTCTTTTAAAAAAGCCTTGCCTCCGGTCGCCGCCCCTCCCCTCCTGATTCGTCGTAGCTCGGCAGCCTGTCTCTAACCCCGCAGCTCCGCCTCTCTCTTCTCCAGACGAGAAAGCGCCTATTTTATTGATAATAAAGAAGATTGACATGATGAAAGCTTGAAAAGGGAATGAAACGAAAGAAAGCAGCCTAGGGGACATTCTCTTAGAACGAGGGATCACAAGTTTTTGGCTCCTGCCATTGCCCAAGCATTGGTCTCTTCTTTTATCTTTTTTCAACGTACAGGCCGATGAATGAGGTTTTTGCTTTATGTTGGAAGACCCAGAGTTTTTTTTCATTCCGAATTTCCCAAGAGATGAGTATGATGAGTGATTTTAGGACTCCCCGTAGCACTGCTCTAGTAGTGACATTGGTCCACCATAACATCACATCATCACTTGGTTCAGTGGCTCCCTGACCACTGGTAGAAGCTGTGGTTGCTGCAGCCAGCTCAAAAACAAGTTTTGTGCTAAAAGTAAATTTACCATAACCAGAGCATTCATATGGGTATTGCGCTAGAAGATGAACACGCACACAGAGGAAGAGAGAGAGTAAAGATTAACAAGTGTGATTAGGTGTACAGGTTGGTGGGCTACGTAGAATGGAATTTCAATCTAATTTGAATGTGCTAGCAATTTCGATTCCTACTAGCTACTATCAGGTTCTTCGGCTGACGCTCTCCGTCTCCTCTTCGTAGTGCGAAGGAACCTTGGTTTGCCTGGGGTCTTGCGGTAGTTGTCCCTGTCCGCTTTTTGGTTGGCTTCCTAGTTTGAGCCAGGGTGGTCAGGGTACCAAGGCCGTATGTACTTACACCTAGGCACCGTATGACGACGGTATTCTGTGGCAGCAGCGACGGCCGGCAAGTTGGCGTGTTTGGCCATAAGCCACGCGATGGTGACGAGTTCGCCACCACAGCTGAGTTGCCTGGCATGGGACTCCCTGCTGCAATGGTTAGCAACAAAGCAGAGCATCTCCACCCACACGCCAAAGATCACCTTCAGCCCTTCAGGACGGTTGCGGAGCTCTTGGGCAATGACAAATCCTCCTACCGCAGGATTATCACCTGCTGGGGGAAACTCAGTAGGCAGGAAAGAATCCATGAAACGGACCTGTTGGCGGCTCAGAGGTACTTTCTTGAAGCTCTTCCTGAAGGTGCGCAGAACCCAGTCAAGCCGGTGTTTCTCCGTGATGGCCTTGGCCCCCTGTTCCTTGTCCCAGGCCTCGGTGTATGCCTTCTCTATGGCTTTGTTCAAGAGATCACATGCCCCGCCGTACAGGCCCAGGCAGCATGTAGGGGCGTACCACAAAGAGGAACATCATGTATCTGGAGAGCTCCAGGCTCGCCTGCAGCATGTCTTCCACTTTGTTGTCAGCGTCACGGTAATACAGATCTGTGGCGACATGCCAGGCGATGATGCTGCCCTCAATATCGGACTCCTCGACGCTCCAGCCAAACTCTGTATGAAGGTGGTGTTGCTGCAGCGCGAGGAAACCTGGCCGAGAGCTCACGTTGCGGCGATCAGGGCCCATCTCGAATATCTCTTTCAGTATCAGCTCCTTGGTAGTGCCTGAGATCTGGTCGGACCGCGAGTGGCACAACTGGTACCACCAGCGCTCCAACCCCATCCGCCCTGCCATTCGGCTGCCGGTTGGCTTCGCCATGTCGTGGCCCCAGGACTGCAGCAGACTGTACTGCCCTACAGTGCCGGACCACCTTCTGTAGCTTGCAGCCCTTAGGAAGACGCGGAAATCCTGAAACTCGTAAAGATGGCACCATTTCTTGGCATGCAGGAATGCAGCTGTCCAGGTCGACCCTGCCGCCCTGACCAGTGAGGCTGTCTCCAGGAGCAAGGCCCCAGCCAGCAAGACATAGGTGATGACGACATCCTTCTCCTTGTGACCACCTTTGCTGGTGATCCGGAACAGCAGGAACGCAATGGCCGTGGCGACCGGCGAGATCACGCGGATGCAGCAACCCCACCAGCTGTGGATCACGGCTGCCTTGGTGTACATGATATCATACATCAGTGACAGCTCCATCTCCATCAGCATGTCCAGGCGATGTTCCTGCCGGCAGCGCCACATGACGCGTTCTATGCAGTCTGCAGCTCCACCTCGTTCTCGTTGCGAGCCGATGAATATTCCCTTGCAAACGTCGAGCAGGCCATGTGATGCCATCAGGATGTCCTCGTCATCCAGGGGGTTCCACCTCTTATCCACCAACTCCAGGAGAATCTTGCGGCTTTCGCTCCTGCGGGCACTCGTGTCCGACTTGTCATTGTCGAGAGAGCTCCAGATGCTGTCCATGCTGGCACTCCGGAGTGCCCAGATCCTCTCCCCATACTTGAGACCACCCACGATGAACATGAGGATGGACGCCACCCGGATCAACCTCTCACTGCCTGGGATGTACTTGTACAGGACGTAGGCCGCACCTAGGAACTGCACGACGAGAGTCTGCAGGTGGCGCAGCCAGAGCCCGTTGTCCTCGAAGGAGTAGGCGGTGATGGTGTCCTGGCCACCCAGATGCACCAGCAGGAACGGCGCCCAGAACGCCATGAGCTGCTGCTCATCTGGCGACCGAGCTCTGATGGCCATATGACCCAGGGTGAACAAGGCTGTGGAGTCGGCAAGCTGATACGCCAGCCAAAGGAGTAACCTTGTCAACGTCGCCACATTCTTCCGACGGGTCCAAGCGAACATGAGCAGGAAAACCTGCAGTGAGAAGCTGAAAAGGACCAGACTCTGCACTGCCCATTCATTCCGCAGGTCCACCAGCACATCAGAAATTGCTCCCATTAAATATACTGACAATCCAGCCATTGCTCTGAACCCCCCCTGAAATGCATACATTAGTAGTTCCTCATGTTAGTTGCACTGTTGGTCAGGGGTCAAAACTCCAAAACATATCAACTCAGGGTATGTATGTAAAACCCTATGGAAATAGTAGTTAAAAAAAAGAACTGCATAACTAGTACTTATTATAAACCATCTTCAAAATTGCATCCATGCTGGAACATCTGTTGTGTTTAATAAATTCCTTTTTTTTCTCGAATACACAAGAGAACTGCAAGTTGTTATATTAAAACATAGAATGAATGGTCCCATTACATGCTGATTCCACGGCCTGGATTAGGTTTTTATAGTGTTTAATGAACTCTAAAAGGTAACCTAGAATTCAAATAAATATAAACTCCTTTAGTTAAATGGCACTAAATAATAAAATAAAAATTTGGTTGAAGCAAATCCCAAAATGAAAAAATGGGACAAGTTCTTGAGATATAATCTGATAAACCCTAAATTTAAAATCAAGAAGTTGGGAATTAATATTTAATACTAATATTTTCACTGAAATTCATGAGGGCATAAAGGATGTGTACAAAAAAAATATCATGTGCTTCACTACAAATTTTATGATATTACTCAACTTGCCCATTAAAGTGCTAACTATATGAACTCGCATTTGAATACTCTTGGCAATGAGGTCAAATGTGTTAGGTTTGAAGCAAAGTGGAGATGAAGAGGTGGTGAATGTTGTGAAGTATAAGTGGATTGCCCACCTCTTCCCAATGGCTTAAGCTTTTGGGTTAATCTGATCGGTGCATGAAACCTAACATGGTATCAAAGCCAGTGGTCTCGAGTTCGAATCATTGCAGAGGCATCATTTAAGTCCTCCGCTCGTTTATTTCGACGTTTGCTCCTTGTATGTATCTGCACGTGAGTGAGAGTGTTGCGAAGTATAAGTGGATTATCCACCTCTTCCCGACGGCTTTGAATCATAGCAAAGGCATCATTTCTTGGCAGAGGGATCATTTAAGTCCACCGCTCTTTTATTTCCACGTTTGCACTTCGTATGTGGTTGCACGTGAGTGGGAGCGTTGTGAAGTATAAGTGGATTTCCTTGGCCAAAAAAAAGTTCTATTTCCTTCCGTAGTCCTTTTAGTTTTGAAATTATCTATTTGGCCTAAAATATAACTTTGTTTTCTTGTATACGTTAAATTTAGCCACTAACGGTGTTAAGTGAGGTGTGAATTGACATTGTTATCCTTGGACGAGATAGGCAAAAGTGCAAATTCAGTTTTGATATATCTAAATTATACACTCTTGTCTATCTCGCACAGGATAAAAAGTTCAATTCATGCCCCGCTTAACTCGGTTAGTGACCAAATCTAATAGAAGGGCCATATAAGAAAGCAAAGTTGTATTTTAGGCTAAATAGATAATTCCAAAACTAAAAGGTGCAAGGAAGAAAGTGGAACTTTTTTAGGCCCAAGAAAGTAACGCTCTCTTTACAATTTGGAATGGGATGGAAGGTTTAGATATTGAAGCCTGAAATTTGGAATTGGAACTGAGTTTTTCCAATTATGTTGTTTGGATGTCTTTGGCATCGAGAGATGGAATTGAAGCCCATTTTCATGGTTGTGGGCCACAACTAAATATGCTCACCTTCAATACCAAGCTTAATCCCTCTCTATTGGAGAGAATTTTTTTTGAATCTCTCTATTGGAGAGAATTCAGAGAACGCACCAATCTCAATCAAGATCAGCTGCAAGATTGTCCCCGCCACCGAAGCGTCCCACCCACCATCTTTGCCGGTGGTTCACTATAGACAAACCCGCCACTGCCCGAAGGCCACCTCTATCTAACCCTCGCTGGTGCCTGGGATGGCTCGGGCTGCCCACTTAAGCGCCTGCCTGGGATGGCTCGGGCTGCCCACTTAAGCGCCACTTTTTTTTCTCCACTCCAGCCATCGTCGTCGTGTCCCTCTACTCTGGCCACCGCCCAGGCAGAGAGGACCTCACCGGTGAAGAGCTCAAGCAAAGGTAACGTGGAAAAGAAGGTGAAGGGAGGGGATCTTGCCGACGAAGAAGAAGGGTGGGGAGATATGGAGAGGCAGAGAGGGAGGGAGGAGGGGACCTCGCCGACAGAGAGGTCGAGTAGAGGCGATGCGAAAATGGAGGATGGACGGGATCTTGCTGAGAGAGAGAGAGAGGATGAAGCGGACCACGCCAATGGAGTGGCAGGACGGCAATATGGATTGGCGGAGAGGAAGGATGAAGTCGACCTCGCTGGCAGAGAGCGAGGGAAGAGGGGCTCATTGTTGGGAGAGCTTGAGTTGAGGAGATCTCGCCAGTGGAAAGCCCGGGTGGAGGAGATCTCAGATGCAGAGATGCAAGGAGTGGAGGGAGGGAGAGAGATGGTCATTCAATGCATGGACACCCAAACACAAATTGACATTATAACTTTACTTGATTCTAGCTCAGGCTGGGCATTCGGTTTAAACTGACATTTTGGTTCGGTTTGTTTGTTTTGTCAAAGCTTCGGTTTTCAAGAATCATAAACCGATTGGTTTTCTTCAGAACAGGAAACCGACGAATTCGGTGCGGTTTTCTACATCATTTTTTTGTTTAAAAACTGTACTCACCGAACTCCTCGCTAAATCCATCTGTCATTGCTCGAGCCGCTGGCTGCCGCACTGCTTCGTGCTCGGTGTGATGGTGTCGCTGCTGCAGCTTCCGCGTCGCTCCCCGCTCCAGCTCGTCGTAGCCACCCGCAGCCCACGCGTGCCGCTCCAGCTCGTCGCAGCTCGACGCTAGTAGCCGCCGCCGCACACGCCGCTCCCTCCTCACCATTGCTTCCACGCACACGCGCTTCCTCGTCATCGTCGCGAGCACGTGCTCCCAGTGCCCCTGCTTGCCGCGCACGTGGTGCGCCCCCTGCTCGCATGGCCGCGAATGCGCCACGCCGCTGCCGAGTGATGCTTCAGGTTAGGGTTTGGGATTTGGGATGGAGATGGCCTTGTGACTTGTGAGGGTGGGTCAGTGGGGGATGTTTGCGCCGCGGGCTGGGTGCAAGGGAGGGGGAGTGTAAGTGCATCTAGCCCTTTAGTGGGTTTTGATGATTGATTGACAACTCAATTAATGGTCTAACAAATTTGCTAAGTGTTTAACAGGAAACCGATTGTCTCGCATAACTTGATTTAAATGTATAAAGCCAAAATAATGTGTTGTTGTATAGGCATTCTAGTTCAAACACAAGACAACAATGCAAATGAAATTCATGCGAAGGCTTCTATATTGTGGGACTTCTATGATTAATGAGAAAGCAAGCACATTTTGATTGAATAATGAGACATGAGGTATTGCATATCTCATTTAGAGAGCTTGCTATAAAGTCAATATTGATAAAGATGGTTTTCATCAAATGGAATTCATGGAATGTTCATTATGATTCAAATCATGGTATGACTTTGGATTTGCTGGTGAAGATGAAGATAGCAAGGAAACGGCTTCAAAGGACCAAGTGTAGGTAAAGGGCAAGCAACGGGTTGGGCGCCGAGGAACCATGGCTATGGTGAAAAAAAGAGTACTTGCATTTAGTCTTTCGTTGATCAAGCGAAATGAAGTTTTATTGTCAAATGGGTCAAATCTTTATGGGATCATTTGATGGAAGTGACTTGATACATTTGAGGTTATTCACATCTATTGAATGGAATCAAATCACATGCTCAAGATGGCTATGCTCAAGACAAAAATCAAAATGGACATGTTGGCACCCTCCAATAATGAAGACTGAAAATGTTGGCAAGGTTTTGAAAGTGGTTAATTCAAGTGATTTAAATTTCATTTTCATTCAATCTTGAGTTAAATAGGAATGCCGTACTATTAAGAGGGATGCAACATGATGATAGATGATTATTCATAAGTGCTCAAGCCAACCCATGTGAGAATTGAGTGAGAGAGTCTTGAGGGTCTAACAAGTGTGCTGTGGTCGGCCTTACCGGACATGTCCGGTATGCTCGAGAGTCACAGATCCGTCATTTTCTCTCTTCTCTGGCTTGGGCTCACCGGTAGTACCGATTAGCATCGGTAGTACCGACAGTTGCCGTCGGTAGTACCAATTAATGTCGGTAGTACCAATAGTGGGCGAAACTTCGTTGGTGGTACCGATACCCGTCGGTAGTACCGACAGTGGGCGAAACCTATCTAACCCGTGCTGTGAAGGTCCTACCGGACATGTCCGGTATACACATTCGCTCTCTAACGGCTAGTTTCGAAATTTGGGGTATTTATACCTCCAAGCCTCCACCTTTGGAGGCTGCTGAATCTGTTGATTGCCATATACATTTTTGAGCCTTGAGAACACTGTCCAACCCTCTCTTAGTGAGTTTGTGATCCCAATTGCAAAATCAAATTTGTGGGTTGAGAGAAAATCAAAATTGAGAGCAAGCCACCTCTTGAGTACTTGTGCATATTGTCGATCTTGGTTTGCATTTGTTACTGATGGACTCTTTGGTCCTAGACGGCTAGCTGTTGCCAAAGAGCACCCAAGATTTTTTTGGTGTGCCTCGGAAAGTTTGTAACGATCGATCTCACCGCCTCAAGGGGAGAGATCAAATAGTGGAAGGAGGAAAAGCGGTTGGAAAAGACCACGGCTAGAGTTGACCTTTGTTGGGTCCTCTAGAGCTGACCTTCGCTGGGTTGCTCGCAGCCACCTCAACGGATAGTAGGACTCGATGGAGTCCGAACTTCAGTAAAACAAATATTGCGCCTCAATTGCATTACGTTTGATATTTTTGTTTGCCTCGATTCTACTGGGTTGCTCTCACTTGTGTGCAGGTGTTTTGTATTTGCCATAACCCCTAGTAGACACTTGCAGCCAGGATCGGAAGTTGAATTCAAAAGGAGCAAGTTTGGAAGTTGGTGTGCTGAGCCCGTGCATACCGGACTTGTCCGGTAGCACTACCGGACATGTCCGGTATTTCCTTCGTGTGCTAAAATAATTTGATCTATATCCTAATCTTTGTGTTGCAGGCTTGTAGC